TAAGAATTTGTATAAAAAGATCTAAGTATGCAGTTTTACAGCCCATTTAATTCTTAAGTGCAAGTTATAAGGGGCTAAGAAATCGCGTTGATTTTTGATATTTTTTTCCGTCGGTGTCACGCATTTTCTTGCATACAAAGTATGTTCGACAATTTTTTTTGTATGGAAGAAAATAATAGAACCATCCGTAAAAAAAAGTTCAAAAATCAACAACGACATGAACTTTCAGAGGCCACTGAATTATACAAAGTTACTTTTCCCACACCGAAGAAACCAAAATAAGTTCAGAAATGTAAACAAAACCGCACAATTGAGTGCCGCCTTATCAAAGGTGTTTTTTTTATCGTGTATGTAGTGTGTGTTTATGTGCATGTACATATCTATGTAAGTACATTAAATATAGCCGCCTTTGTTATTATTATTAATTGTTTGTTTACTTCACAATCATTCAAAATGTTTAGATTTTTGCTAGTAAGTATGTTCACTAAGGCCAATCACACTACCTCTGTTTCCATGTGCAATCGTTAGTTATTTGTAAAATATTTATGATTTGAACAAATAAAATGTAAGTATGCATGTATGTATGTATATTGAAGCTTCAACTACGAACTTCTTATTCCCCAAGAAATATAAAATATATATATATGTACATGCATATATAGTATGACTTACAAAACACTGTACATCGCAGATATTCATCGAACTCAAGTTTTACAGATGTTAAAAAAAATATTGAGGGAGCTATCCACTTTTTAATTCACACAATGCAGAACAGTGAAAGCTTATCAGCTGTCTTGGAGCCATCCTTGTATATGTATGAAGTCTGAGAAAGCCGCCAGGACTATTTTTTTATCCCATTCGTTGCTCGAGTGGATGTTTTTACCCCATACAAGTTCGAAAGTCGAAAGTAGTAGATGTTTAAACTTTTTCAGTGACCAAATGGGATATCAGGATATAAGGGAAAAATATTCTATTTTTCTTCCTGAATGGAACCCTGACGGTTTTTGTTGGAATCTGCTACACTTCGTCCTGCTTTAATGAGTTTTAAGGTTTTCAAAGGTTTTTTTTTAACATCTTCCAGCTTCCTTATGTGTAGGTTTCATTTAATTCATAAATTATTCATGAATGTTTCAATAAATATTCAAAGTGCATTTTGTGATGCTTTAAACTCTGAATATTTTATGTTCATATTTATGTATCTCCAATTAATGCGATTATGTGCAATGCACTTGAATATTTCCAATTTCAAAAACAGGCGTGTTTATAATGACACCTAAAAAATTACAGCATCTGCAAAATGTCTATTCAAATTGCGTGTAAGTTGCGCATTATATTTGCCAATGATCCAATGAAATTACATTAGCATCGTTCTACAAATATTTATATGTATACGTAAATACACACAGATATCTTTTGAGGAATCGCAAAGGGAATTGTAAGATTCTGAGGTAATGTAAATTGAGTTATCAATTATACAATTCGACGTATGCCAATTTACATCTACAAATAACAACAAATCATAAGCAAATGTAAACTAGAACGAAATGCATACAAATGTTATTATGTATGTATGTATGTATATAAATAAGTTCATAAATGTACACCAGTACACAGTGGGGGATGAAGAAATGTGGAATAATGTACGATTAGTAATATTCGAGTGCCAGATATACAAAACGATTCGCAAAGTAGTATGCGCAAATGTGTAATGGAATTTTAAACACAATGCAGAGATGAGGTAAATTCCAGTTTCAAGAGTGAATGAATTCAAGAAGAGAATAGAAAAATATGTAAAATAAAATGAAAAATAATAATAAAAAACAGAAAAAGAATAAAACACAAAATAAAAAAAAACAATAGAACAAATAAAAAAAAAAAAAATAAATGAAATGTAATAAAATAAATAAAAAACAAAATAAAATATTCTAATTAGATAAGTGAAGAAAAGTAAAATAGAAACAAAAAAAATTAAATGAAAAATACAAAATAATAAGAAATATAACTAAATGAAACAGGTCAAAAAAAGCAAAAAAAAATAAAAGAAATAAAAAATATTTACCGAAAAAATAATAAAAAAGTAAATGAAATAAAATATTAATGAAAAAATAAAATAAAAAATAAACGGACTCAAGCTCTATAAAATTGTTGAATATAAAGAATAAAAGAAAAATTAAGTTAAATAAAAAAAATAAAATAAAATAAAATGAAATAATAAAAAACATCAAAACTAAAATGAAATAAAATAGACATCAAAAATAAAATTAAAATTAAAATTAAAATTAAAGATAAAAACAAGAAAAAACGAAAAATTTAATAAAATAACAAGTTAAAAATAAAATAAAGTAAAAAAATTAAATAAAAAATAAAATAAAGTAAAAGGAAATTAAATTAAGTTAAAGTAAAAAAATTATAAAAAATTAAATAAAATAAAATAGAGTAAAAGGAAATGAACTTAAGTTAAATAAAACAAAAAAATAAATAAAATAAAAATAAAACATGTAAAGTCAAGTAAAAAAAAGCAAAAACAATTGAAGTTGCAACGAACTTCCGTGCAGACAGAACTCGAAAAAAGAGAATACTTATTCAATCAGAAAAATTTCGGAAAATCACCAGAAAGTAGGGTTTGGAGGGCTATCCGGATTTATTTTAAATCCGCGTAATCCGGATATACTAATATCTGATTAAAAAATCCGAACAACCGGATAACAAAATGAATGGATATAAACCGGACATTCGAAATTTATCCGTATACACCAATAACGGATATCCGAATACACAGTGGGATATGCCTATTTAAAATTATACAGAACACATCAAGCTTACACAAAAACCTCTCGAAAAAGTATTGAATTAAACGCACAACCAACGAAGACAGTGGCGCTAAATACAAAAGAAAAACCAAATACAAATGTTTAAAGAAACTGAATCAAAGTAAAATCTCGACAAACGCAAGCCACACGCAGATCACATAAAGGCCCGCAGTCAAATAGTAAATTTTGCCAATATAATTAAACAAAATTTGTAATTGAAGTAAAACAGCAGCCGCTACCGCCACCGCATGGACCGGCGCTGTGGCAGTGGTGGCAAATGCCCGACTAACAATTTAATAGCAATCACTATCATCAACACATGATTAATGGCAAACAAAGCGAAACCATGTGAATCAGGTACGCTAGAGCGATGCAGCGGTGCAGGGCAGGGCGGTGTAACAAAGGTGCAGTGGGAGACGTACATATGTATGTACTTGCATATGCACATCATTAGTCCTGTTGTGAGGGCAGATATACGAATGCAATTGGCAATCGTCGTCGTTGGCAAGACGCGAATTTAATGCGAATTATTTGCACATTGTCGTTGCTATCGAAAACAGAAATAATCACGTACCAAAAAAAAAAAAAATAAATAAATAAAATAAAAAATTGAATTAATCTAATTTTAACAGCAAACAAACGCACGCGAACTAAAAACTAAATAAGTGAATATAAGCGTTCGATGAGGCATATCTACTCGCAGTTGCAATATACAATTTGTGCATGTCTCACTAGACACAGTTGACGACGGCTCACAAATCACATTCGCTGCCGTCGGCATTGGATTCGTTAAATTTGATTGTGTGGCAGCAAGAAAAGTAAAAACGTACCCTGCCCATATACACATACATATGCACATGCCGAGGTACAATTCTAAAATTTTATTTTAATTATTCATTGGTTCTTGCTTCTTTGATTTGACTATCCTGATTTGCGCTAAATATGCCCAGTAAGAAAATCGGTATATGAAATTCACGGTTCCGAAAAGTCTGCATATATCTGAATGAATATTTTGCAAGCAACTTGACCAGCTCTTTCCGCCCATTTGTGGAGCGCGTCATGATGCTGTCACACAATTGGCGGGATCTACAAGATTACCCATTCCACTCCGTTCTCGATGTGAGAAAGACTCCAAAGGGCAAGTGAAATTCTATTGCGGACTGTTAAGACCTGAAAGGCAATCGAAAAATTAAGCTACTATATCCGATCGTTCATTCTTTTCATACACTTAGTTCTGTGAGTTATAAAGTAGACACTATATTGCATATTGGCTGGTAATAATATTTCAGACATTTGTAGTGCGAATTCTCATGGCCCTGTAATTTTCGGGTAGGTCTTCCCACTAAATTTCATAGACGAGGCGTAGGCCTAAAAAAGAAACGAATATTACCGTTTCTAAAATTTTTCTGAGAAAGGGACTGTAAATATGTAC